CCTTGGAGCTTCGAAGCTCAAGTCCCTCGTCTTTGTTTCTCGTTTGAACACTTTGCTCGCGCGAACCATCGATGCATCGACGTAGGTTTAAGACACACTGTTGTTTCACTGATGTGCTCGTGTGTTTGTATGTGTGTACGTACGTGTATGTGCATTGTCAGGGAGCGTGTAGTGATAAGCGATCGATATCCACGAAACTACGACGTTCGACTAGTTAATCCGATTCCGTCTAAGGCTAATTCAGTGCTTGAAAGAACGTATGGACGGTAAAACTATTCTACAACTTGTCTAAAACACTCTCTAACTTTCTGCGAGCATCGAACTATGCTTCTGGTTCTGCTTTTTTTTTATTTGCTCGATCATGTTCGGGGGCAATGGTCGTGATATATCGCGCCCCTAGGGCAGAGCTTTTTAAACTATGGGTCGCGACCTCTTGCCGAATGGTTTTCGAGGCAATGGCGATAAATAAATAAATTTCACATCCTTCGTAGACCCACCCCCTATCGTGTCGATTCTGCTATTGAGTCGTGTAATTCTTCCAAGTATCTATCCATAAGGCTATCGCTTCTAGAATCGTTTAACCATGCAATTTCCAACTACGGCTATTTATTTTATTAATGGTCGTTTCTCGTAAAATGCAGATCGATATGTGGCAATGATGATACGTGTACGATCGTTTCCCAGTTTATTACGCTGTTTGCCGGTAAAGAGGGCACATAAATAAAATAAGCGATCTATAGATCGGAGATCGTTCTTTATTTTCTTTTATGATCAGGGGTCGCGAGTGGCGAGAGTTTAAGAAGCGCTGCTCTAGGATATGAATGAGACCAGATGCTGCAAAAATCTAACAAATTTTAGGTCGATTAAGAATCGTCTAATTGAAACATAGCTTCACTGCCGCGGCCTTTCTTCGAGTTCTGCCTAAATCACGAATACACGAGACTATCGATATCGATGGTGCCTGAAAAACTTCAACCAAAGGATCAACTAAACGTCAAGAATAAATTGCCTCGAACGTAGAAGGCATCTATCGACATTTTAACTCGAAATCTTTCAGGTCGAACCTTTTGGTCAGCTAGTGATCGAAGTAGGTAGCGCAAAACCGCGGCAGAAACAAAGTTAATATGGACAGTATCGATACGTTATTAGTTCCATCGCTGCTTGTTACGAAAGCGCGCGGCAGCGAAGTGTGTTACTCGATTAGATTGGACGTCCAAGCGTTTTCTCGAGGAAAAATCAATGACGCTCCGCGAGGAAAAGTTCACGGGTCGTGTACCGCGAGCTAAACGCAGCCGGCGAGATAAACGGCTCGACGAATCAACGAGGGGAAAGGAAGCTCATTGTTCCGAGAGTTTCGGATGAGCGACATGGCCGACGAACCGAGCCCAGGCTTATCGAGCCTGTCGGGCCAAAATTGCGGGGGTCGATTCGTTCGATCGACCGTGTCGTACGCGATTTCGGAGAACGAGAAACGGAGTGCCCTTTGCGAGCAGACCGGACAGAGAAGCGCCGTGATGTTTCGTATTGCAGCAATTATGGGGATCGGAGAAAGCGTAAACGTCGCGAGTTGCCCGCGAGGAAGGAAAATGAGCTTCCCTCCCGTGCTCTTTCTCGGATCCCGTCGGTGCCCGGCACACTCGCGTGGATCACGAAACTGCCCATTGTTTTCTTTCCCTTTCCTTTCCTTTCTCTCGTGTTAATATAGCGAACACACCACTGCAACGCTCAGCCGACACAAGCATGCAATTCTCAAACAATCCTCTACTATCAGTTTTAACCACGAAGCCTGCGTGTGTTCTGACGTTGGTCGACTGATCGTGTCCGTGTCCGTGTCTGCGATTATGTTTAACGAGCCTCTACGCGACGGGACTCGTCTCGAGACAGATCTCTACAGAGAGTTACAAAATTACGAGTACGAATAGGGTCAGAGAGATTCCATGACTCGAAGTAAGACGAATTTGCATCGAAATTTGGAGCCTTCGTCTTCAGGAAAAGTCGATCTGGTGCTTCTCATTTCGCTGAGACGCGAGAGAATTGGTCCCTTGATTGTTTGCGCCACTAATTTTGAGGCATCCTGTGTATAAGCAATTTTGTATACGCGGTTGCTTGAGGCTCGTTGTGTAGAGGCTCTTTTACACGGACTTGATTTACACCGAAGTTGTCACACGTCGATGTACGTCGAGGAACATTAACCCCTTACCGTACAATAACGAGTCGTAAGTTCTTTATGACAAGTTTGATAATAACGAGGCTATACCTTGTCCAACGAGACAGCAGACGGATACTCCTGTCTTCGTTTCATCGCGTGGACGTTTGCTGTCTCGTCACGTTGGACAAAGTACAGATATACGTTTGAAGAATTGATTAAACAATGCTCTACGCCTTCAAAGAACGTCACCAGCTGTGGTGACGATCAAGATCTCACTGTTTTCCCCAGTTGCGTGAATTTTTATAAATGAAAACTCTCTATTATAACTCCGGGGATTAATGTTGCTCAGCATAGATCCAGGTGGCAACAGCATAAATATGAACCGCGTAAACGTAATCGGTGTCAATTGTCAAGTGTCACGTGTCCCGGTGCACGCGTGCAGGTTCCGATCGTCCGTTGCCGTTCGAAACGTCTCGCTTTACTGGAAAATCGTTGTATTTTCGCGTAAAATGTACCAAGATTCGTTCGACAATAGCGACGGTGACCTGTCCAGCGTGACAGATTAGCGCGAGTTAATCTCTCTACGTGTGTGTTGGGTTCGTGTGTCTGCTAATTCAATTTTTCAGCTATATAGAGTCTTGAGCAGCGAAGTGAAGGCAAAAAGAAAAAATAGGGAAACAGCGAGAGATAAAAGAGGGAAGAAACGTGAGAGACGAGAAAAAGAGAGGCAAAGAAAGTCGTAGGTGTCCAGACAAAGGAGAAATAAACGTAGATACGAAAGCCAAAGTCGAAGAGACCCAGGGCACGGTGGACCTTTGCGAAAAGCCGAATTTGTACGATCATTTTCACCGTAAGCTACGCATACGTGCACGTATGCCAACGATCATTTTCGTTCTGACTCTGTCTACTTTGAGCAACCGTCTCATCTCCCCCCGGTCGCTCGTCTACTATGTACGCATACTCGGTCGCAAAAATATTGGTACAATATATCGGTAAATATTATTCAAAATACGAGGCTCGATGGTCGAGATCGTAACGTCGTGGCAATATTTTTGTGGCCGACTGTAAATGCTCGCGCACTACTTCGAACATCGGCATGCCGTGGCATAGTATATTAACGTATATTATGCTCGAAATGATAGAAAGTGAAAGAGATCGGCCTCCATTACGATCGGTCTCTCCTATACCACCACGAACAGACTCTCGGTAGCGTTGGACGCCTTTTTCTACCGATCGAAAGACAAACAATCCCATTAGCGGGAACGCAAGAAAAAACCGTGCGTCTTATTACGATAAACTTTTACGATCGTCGTTCTTGAACGCGTACGCGAGGAAAAATACTAAATTCGTCGCGCTCTCGTTGTTTCCACCGTTGTTTCTTCGCATTATCGAACGCAGTATTATTAGAAGCCACGGACGCAACGATTTATCGTAGTACGAGTAAATATCGCGAGATATTCCGACGTTTTTTACACGGACGCGAGACAACCAGAGATGGGCAGGGCGTGATATCGAGTAATACAATTTCGTTTTATATCTCAGATTGCAAATAACACGAAAACAAACTACTGTATTTTCTTCGTTCCTTATCGCATTATACCGCGTCCTATCTCAGCCTAGTAAAGAAAAAACTGTAATTTTTTTTGTAAATTAATCTAGAATAAAACTAATTAATAAATCGTTGCGTCCGTGGTCCTTGGAGCGTAATTCGACGATGAGCAAACGTTTCAAGTTCCCAAGTGAAAGATGGCCGCGTCTCGTGCCCCCATGGAGGAGCCTTTACGCCGAACGATCGCGAACGATCGCGCGTTAATCGATCGAAAGTTATCCAAACCAGACTGGATTAAAAGTCAAGCCAAACTCTAAGCTACGTAGACGAGGAATAGAAACGGACAAGCTCGTTTATTAGACGGCAATCAGCGCGTTAGACGGAAGCCATCGTGGGATCGAGAAAGCTTGTTTAAAGGAGCCGGCGTAAAAGTGCCTCGGATGGGGGCAGTCGCTCGACTCGATTGGGTGAACACGTATCGGTGGAAAAAGACAAACAAAAAAACAAACGTTCAAGGGAAAGAAGAAACCAAGAGTGGTCCCAGTGAGAGGTTTCGGGGAGAGAGTGTCGAGACAAGAAACCCAATGATTAAGTTACACGTAACACAGCTTGTTTCACAGGGAAAATACCCAGAGGTGCATTTGTCGGAAAAAACAACGTCTGCCTCGTGCCCCCGCGCCACCTCTCGACGATTATTTCTCCGCGACGGTATCGATTCCAATCAGAAACGTTAAACAACAAGATTCGGACCCGTTCCACCCTCCAACCGATTCATAAAACCGTGTTGATTTCTCTTATTCGACTTCTCTTGCAACGTGAAACGGTATAGATTTGCGCACAGATTCTAAACTGTTGCTTAAACTCGATAGACGACTGTTCGATCAGGGTTAAGCACGAACACGCGCATAGTTAAGTACGGAAAGTTACTTTCTATTCTCGAGAATCGTAGATCGTAGACTCGGCGCGAATAATCGTCGAAGAAGGTTGTCGGGATGTCGAGCAAAGGCGTACCGAGGTGGTAGAGACGAATTTTGGTAGTTTGTGAGATAAATTTGGTGATGGTGAAATTATTTTGGCGTTGCGTTAAACGTATGTGAGCGGTAATGAATGAACGAGATATGACGATACATATCGGATCGTAAAGAAAGGGCTGACGACAGACTGTGGGGCTGGGGCGGGGTGGGGGGCGGGTTGGTTTTCAGGGGTATTGGGTTGTATATATTATGCCACTCTAGTGTACTACGAGAGGTTCAGAAGGAATGTCCCAGGACCGTTTTAGTGTACCGGGCCTGGCGATCCTACCTTGAACAGTTGTACGCCAATGACGGCGAACACGAACTGCAGGAGGCTGGTGACGAGGACTATGTTTCCGATAGTCTTTACCGCTACGATGACGCACTGTACTACGTGCTGGGTTCAACATTAATCATAATGTAGATCCGTTCCATTGTAAACGTGATTAACGTGTACCGACTAATTTTATCACGTCGGTTTACCTCTTGTTTCTCTTATCGTTTTCTTACTTCGTTTACATATACTCCGTTTCGAGTCGATTACATTCGTGTTTAGCACTAGGACGCGCGAGATGCTTCTATTTCCGATAGATCGACAACGATTACAAGATAACTTGGATCCCGTCACGTTAATCGTCCCGATTCTTCGAAACGATTGCGAACAGTTCAGCGACGAAACTCGACAAAATCACTTCCCGCTAGCCTTTAGAGACGTTTACTCGAACGTTACGCGACTCGATATCCCGAAACACTATAGATATTTACTGTGACCCGAAGCGTTATTTACGCGTTATCTAGTACGGGGCGTGTGCTGCGTCGTGGGACCGATTTAGCAAGTTTACCGATCGTTCGTGTGGGTAAATACGCGAAGAAAGATACCTTTAATCCCTTGGCACGATTGATGGCGCGCAAAGGCCGCAGGACACGCAACACGCGGAGGACCTTCACCACGGAGAACGCGCCGGAGCTGAAAACGTGCATCGAAGGTGAACATTCCTGTTCGATCGTGTCGACGTGCGTTAAGAGAACTAGCACGTTTCATTTATCTAGCAAAGAGCTGCCCGTTTCGCTACATCGTAACAACGGACAGCTAGTCGAGATCAATAAATATTTATTATTTTTCGCTTAATTACCATCGTTCAATGAATATTATTTTGCCAAATGAAACTGTTCTACTTCTCGTAATGAGCTGCGACCACTTACCTGAAAGACATCGAAATGAGAGAAGAGCACACGACCAACAGGTCGAGCAGATTGAACGCCGATCGGCAGAACGCGCCGTCGTGTATGATAAAACCGTAAGAGATCATCTTTAGCCAGATCTCGATCGTAAACACTGTGGTGAAAAAATAGTCGAAATTCTGTAATATCTGCAACAGAATGAAACGAAGGGGATCGTTAATCACGGTGGAAGGGTTCTTCGTCCTCGAGGTATCGCGAAGAGACAGTTTTCAATACCTGATTCCTATAAGACGAAGCGCTTAGAGGATCTTCGGCCGCCAACATGGCCGAGGATATCATGATGCACACGAGAATCACGTTGCCGAAGTAGCCGTGATTGCAGAACCAGTGGCAAAAGACACGAAACCTGAACCACGATACAATATTTTATTTCAGTACTTTCTGTATCTGGGTCGTTGATTTACCTGTTCGTCTGCGAGAGAATAAAAAAGGCCGAACCAGGTGGGATCGGTTGCGTCTTGGTCGCCATATTGAATTCAGACATTCTCCGTGGCCTGGCCGACACCCCTTGTCCCGTACCATCGTCTAAATATTTTCGTTCCAAGCACAGAAAATTATCCATTTTTACCAAACTCAAGTTAAAACCAGATCTACTCATTTTTAGAAATATTCATTAATCGTTAAACGTAGTCTGAATGAAAAGGTACCGTGCATCTCGTTCTGTTCGGCCTCCTCTTCTTCCTCGACCTCCTCGTCCGACTCTATGTTCAGCCGCACTTTCGCGTGGGTGTTCATGTCTTCGCTCTTCTCGGACCTGGAACCGCAAGGGTGAGCTTTTCGAACCACCCATTATTTTCCAGCTTCGAGGAGCTTCGAATCCCGACACTTACGTTTCCGTGTCCAAAGCCGCCTCGTAATCCTCCATCGTTTCGTTGGGATCCTGTTCGAGATCGGTGCCACCGCCCTCGTCTTCTCCACCGGTTCCTTCGCCGCCATCGCCCTGTTCCCCGCTGACTTCGTCCCTGGCTGGCGAGGCGCTGTGAGACTTGTTCTTCTCGGCCTGAAAACCACCCATCCACATGCCTCATTGCCTTAACCAAATTATTTTACCCGAAATTTCTGAAATCCTAACGAAATCAAGAGTTTACCTAAATTCTGTAAGGTTCTAAAAAAAGCCCCTCGATAAATCTAGCGATCTCCGTAACGCTCGAAATTATTCGTTTCCTTGCAAACCACGGCTGGTCGAGATATAGGGCCGGGGCTATTGTTCTAATTTAAACTTAAAGCGGTTTATTAATAACCGGAAAGACGTTGACTCGGTCCGTCGTATCGAATTCTAGAAACCGGTCCCCTCCGCGGATCGCTCGTTAAAATTCCACGGCACGAGGCGGTGAACCGAACCTCCTCGACGGGTTAACGCTCGAGAGCTAACGATTTTTCATTAGCTTATCGACGAATCACGAACGATTAAACTTTTAACGTTAAGCTACGCGGCAACGCGACGATACCATCCGCCGTTGGATCGGCGGCTATTGTTCGACGACGGCCTCTTTTTCTCAACCCCAGGCCGCGACGCTTCGCGCTCGAGCTGGCCCGCATATTTATAGTCGTTCGTTACGAAACATTACAACAGAAAAATAAGAGAAAAATGGAAAACATCGGGCAGCGGAGAACGGGGTGGGGGAGCGAGGGCAGGCAGAAAACTAACAACGACGCGACCGACGGTTTTCAATAAAAGCTTTAATTCCGGAGTATCGGTATTCGATCGGGACGGCCTCAATTTTGCGTGCGTGCTTTGTAGTTCCGTAGCTCATCGAGCTATCGAAGCGCACCGATTAAAGCTGATGACACAGTTTTCGACCGATGCTCGTCGACCGGGGGGGATATGAATCGCGAAATATTGGTAACGGTTCGCGTGCTCCGAGTACGTACATTGTACTTTAGAAAATATTGGGTCCGTTCCTGCTGATTCCACATTCCACAGATCGATCCAAGATTAAGTTTGTAAATCATCAGGAAAAAATAAACATTTCTTATATTATTCGCAGACGTTCCATTTCACGATCTCGAATTCTACTTTACGATCGTTCTCCTCACGACTGCATCGCGATTAGGAGCCTATCCTGTATGCGCGGCTCGCTAAACGACCGCTTTATTAAAACAGAGATGCGAGATAACCTCGCATGCCACCTTTATTAAACTCCCGAGTAAAGAGATTTGCGCGTAATTATGTCGCTCTTTAAGTTTCCACGAAACATCCCCCGGTGTGTAAAACCGCTGATATAAAGGGACCGAGTTCGGAGTTATGTTCTCCAAGATGTACGGATACGATACTTTTATACGTTAATTCGCGTATGAGATCAAATTAATATCTCGCTGGCGGCCTGGATTCGCGGTTAATTACGAGGATGCGTGAAATATTTGTAAGATTCAAACTCGAGGCGACGTAACGTGCAATAAAGGGCCGGCCGAACGACGTCGGAGCCGGCGTCGGAGTCGACGTCGGCGTTGGCGACGGTCATTACGAGCGACGGCAAACGAGACCCCGGCATCATTCGATGCTCTTTGAGGGAACGATAAAACGACCAGCATTCTAATTTTCCTCGCCCTCCCCGTTCCCGCGACCGAGTAAACGCAACGGCGAAATGTTTATTGAAGCGACGCGTTCCGATTTGTCGCTTCCTCTCAGCTTTTCGTCCCATCGATCCGTCACGGATCCACGATCGACGGAACGATAGGGCGGTCAACGGAACAATTACACGCAAAACACTCGATACGGTTGTATACAGAGCGATCGCGATGTTTCAGACACGGTTTCGACGCGTCGACCGTCACGGTGATCACTTTATTCGTTCCAACAATTACAGCTCCGATACTCATGATATTTCGTAATATCTCGTTCATAGAATTTCAACGAATACTGATTTTTAAACGCGGAAAACACGGAACGCGACTCGGTGATATAAAAAACCGAAAACGTGGAGCTAAATTTGTGATAAAAAATCCTCTCTCTCTCGATGAAAATTGATTTCAAAGGTACGCGAAATACGAGCGTATTCGACTATTATAGTCAAGAGACAATTAATTGACCCCTCGAGGCTATTCCTCGCTGCGAATCACGCCACTGCGCGTTCGATGCCAGAGATGGATTTCCAACGATGAGCGAAAGAAAAATTCGTTCGTTCGTGTATTTTGCGACGCGTTGCAGAAGGTCAGGAAAATTTAAATGACTCACCTCCTCCTCGGCTTCCTTTTCGATCGCAGTCAACGACTCGGCGTCCGCGAGATTGTCGACCGCGATAGCCAAGAAGACGTTCAATAGAATATCTGCGTTACTTCTTCCGGTCAAGGATCATTCAACGTGGAGACTTGTAGAGAGAACCGTACGAACGATTTTAATTACTCCGTACGGTAGTGCCACGCTTCTTGCATCGATCCGCGTTAGGGATACGGAGGAATCATCCAAATCCCAACGATTTGATTGCAAGAAGAGAGGACAGAGTACGGAGTATCGATCGTACCTGTCGCGTCACGCGTCGTTGAAAAGGATACAGTTACCGCATATGAAGAGAATGATGAAGTAGAAACAGGCGAGCATGCCGAAGCTCGCGACGCCGCCATAGGCTCTAATTCCGTCGTACATCACCGCGTTCCAATCCTCGCCTGTCAATATCTACGAATCGAAGAGGAACAATGACGCTTTCGAGTCGATACGTTTCCGTCGCGTATCGTCGACGTTTACCTGAAAGACGGTCAACAGGCTCTGCCAGAAGCTGTCGAAATTGTGACGCGGCTTGTCCTGCATTTCGGTGAAATTGAATTTACCACCGAACACCTGCGAAGCAGAAGAAATCATTAAACGAGCCGTGGCGACGACGTTTTATCGGTGTCGAAGACGATCGTTACAACCTGCATGCCTAAAAGGGCAAAGATCACGATAAACAGGAAGAGCAGAAGCAACAGAGACGCGATCGATTGTATCGAGTTCAACAGAGAGGCCACCAAATTCGACAGCGACCTCCAGTATCTGGAAAAACCAACGTTAGGCTCGCGACGATTGCGTTCATTTTTATTATGGATCATCGTGAATTTCCTTACTTGGTGACTTTGAACACCCTCAGCAAACGGACGCAACGCAGCACGGAAACGCCAAGCGGTGGCATCACGTGCGTGTTGGTGAGTATCATCTCGGTGATCGAGCCGATCACGACGAAACAGTCGAAGCGATTGAACAACGAGACAAAGTAACCCTGCACAATGGCAAACGAGGATCGTTTGAATGCTCGCTCCTTTCATTGTTCTCGATTGCGGGGGTCGCGTGGCCGACACGCGACACGGATAAAATTAGGGACTTACTTGAAATCCTAAACTGTACATCTTCAGCATCATCTCCATGGAGAACAACGCGATGAAAAACATATTTGTGATCTCTGCGGGGAGAAGGAAAGAAAAATGAATTACTGGTTATATTTTTATAAATGAAATCGGTCTAGATAGGACTCATAATGTGAAGTGCAAAAGTATAACAAGTACTATCGTGTAGTTCACGATTGTCTAAAGACAGGTTCGGTCTGACAGTCAAGCAAGAACGGCGAAAGGGCAAACAAAGGATTAGCAGATTCGAGGTTTACCTTGAAACTCGTCCAACCAATGCGGCTGATTGTAATGCTCTGTCGCCAGAACGCCGGTGTTGAGGAAAACCAGTACTATGATCAGCCAATAGAAAACCTGCGACTTGACGGCTTTTCTACAGGCCCTCCTCATTCTCCTGTTCACCCTGCGAATTTCCATTGCAAAATCGCTCGATCAAAGACACGCGGTAGCGAGGCTCTTCGAATTTCAGATCTACGACCTCTCCCCGACGATCTTACGGACAGTTAATCAATATGCAACGGTTTGTCTCTTCACGAACCACCGCACTGTGGCAAATTTACCTCACATTGAGGCCAACCTCAACTCTGTATTTTGTTTTTCATTGTCGTAGGTGCCTAAATTTTTCGGTGAAAAAAAAAAATTTATAATCGTTCTAAAAAAATTATTGTCGGTTCCGGGGGGCCAATTACAATCATTTTTGGTCAATAGACATACCCTCGAAATCCTACTCACTTTCCAGAAAAAAATTCGAGTAGTCGACGAAATTAAAAAATTTCAAATCGTTCCGAAAAAATTATTTTTAGTTGTGGGGGCCAATTACAATCATTTTTGGTCAATAGACATACCCTCGAAATCCTACTCACTTTCCAGAAAAAAATTCATTACCGAAAATGTAGTGTCTGACCATACCGTTGATATGTTTCCCTGAAATTTCATGCGAATCTTTAAAATGTCATAACTTCTGAACGGATTGGAGGATTTTAATGTTTAAAAATGCAAAGGACGCGTATTTTGATGGAGAATATGTAGAAATTCCAAGAATATTTGAAAAGTTGTTCCTGGACCCCGTAAAGTGAGAAAAACCCCCATAAAATTGTCCAATTTTCAAACGACCATAATTCCTACAATAGTGAATATATTTCAATGAAATTTTTTTCTGAACTAGAACTCATGGGTACCTACAAAAAAGTCCTGAATAACTTTTCTGTAGCGCGTCAAACAAATTGATTAAAAATGAGAAACCAATTTTTAAGGAAAATCGGTAGGGGGTAGGTGCCTAAATTTCTCGGCGAAAAAAAAAATTTTTAAATCGTTCTGAAAAAATTATTTTTGTGTCCCGGGGGCAATTAGAATCATTTTTGGTGAATATGCATACCCCCGAAATCCTACGCACTTTCGAGAAAAAAATTCTTTACCGAAATTATGTGTGACGACAGAAGAAATTTATGGAAAATATCTTCCAGAAAACTTTCTAAACTAATGATCTCCGAAGCTTTTTATGTCTTTATTGCGGGACTCATGCAATTGGAAATATTGCATGTTTCATTCTATCCATGGAACGGATTAATCGATTTTTCGTAGTAGTAGAAATTCAAATTACAATCGGGCCTCGATCATTCGTTATTGTCCTACTGTCACCGCCGAGCAACCGATCATAAACATGTTTTGCTTGTTTTGCACGCTTAATTCCACGTTGTATTCGCGAATGTAATTTTCTTTATAAAGCTTCAAAGTATTATCAGAAAAGAGAAAATTGTTTCACGTTTGTCCACGATTTCAGCACGCTTATTCAGCCACAGTGGGTTTCCTTGTAACAGTAGAATTTCAATTCAACGAAACATCGGATACGCTGTCCGTTTCGTTCGCGGAACAACAATGGACGAACGGCTCGTTATCGTGGCGTTCTTACCTATCGAAATCCCGCTTCTTCCGCCTCCACACGGACTCCTGTTGCACCCCTTCCTCATCGCCCTCCAATTGATCCGTGCTTTCCATCTCGTTCTGTTGCTTCGCTGGAAAAATTAATATCACCGCGTTAAAATTTCCAATTTATAAAAATACTACCTATTTATTATCGTTTCTTAAACTGTACTATTCTCATATAAGAAAAAGCGTTTCGTACAGCATCGTTGATACACTTTTCGCGAGACGATTCGCCCGGGCGACAAATACCGTCAAAATCGGTGAAATCGTTCAAAATTTGTCAAACGTAGTTCCGCGTCATGCGTCGTAAACCTTCGAACCGAATGGAAAACAGCACAAAAGCGAACGATAAAAAACCACTGACAGATTTGAAATTTGTGAAACTCTTGGTCGACCAACTGGAAAGACAATTTTTGCCGCGGGCGAGTCAGAAATGCCAATACCTCTTCCGGGAACGGATCGAATGGGAAGCTTCATATAATATGACAAGGTACTACAAGCACTGCGCTGTATGTTCCGGGAGAGGATTTCAGTTTCGACGTCGAGAAACAACTGATTACTGCTACGTTTGCTCAAATAAATGAAAGAAACGAAGCAATGTTACAAAAATTATTAAATCTTGAAGAGACAATCTATATTCCAACAGTTTTCAAACCTGTGCTGTTTCTTTTATTCAAGGGGTTGAAGCGCACGAATCTTTCGTTTCCAGACAATGCAAAAATTGTTCATTTTTTAGTATCCTCCTTCGGTGGAAGAAATCGGGTCATGCAGAATGCACGAATGAAAATTGGGACACGTACATTTCCCATCCTGCATCTTGGGCTCGTCGGTTTCTGGCTCGATGTCCTCGGCCTGCGTGATCCAGTCCAGGTAGCCTCTGAGATCGTCCTCGATCTGCTGTTTCTCCCTGAGCTTGTGGAAGTCACCCCGCGCCTTCGCCTTCTCTCTCTCCTTTGAGAACTCCCTACGTCGACCATGGATAATAAACGCGATTGCGGTGTGATTAGAAGCCACGGTGTCGTTCGTAATTGGAACGCTCGCGGATGAAACGGAAATCGGGAAAACCGCCTACGCGACGTCCCCACCGGCGAATACAAAATACGACCAAGTTTTCGCGAAACGGAACGAGACTTGCACTTCCGTGTCACGCGACGCGACTCGAACCCGGTAACTTTCCTGGGAAACTTTCTGCCCTATATTCCTTTTGCCAGCGTTCATCGATTGCTCTTTACTTTCGAGCGCGTTGAACTCGTCCCATTGACTGTCTTTATCGCGACGGGGAAACGGTACGCGCGAAATATCGGGACCCAATGATTCACGACGACTTTTCGTCGCGAAAACTAAAGATTTTCCATTGCTGTCGTGAAAAATTTCTATCGCTGGATGTACGGCGTTTGTATTTTCGCGTGTACGGTTCTCGTTCACCCGAGAGGGTTGTAAATTAGTCCGAAACATTGGGCTTGATAAATTTAATTTAATCGGAAGGAAATAATCGTATATCTTCGGCAGTTTAAGCGCCACGGGTTGTGTAAAAGCCCTTTGAATAGAGAGGGTCCCGCTCGTGTACGCCTTTTTGACAGAGATATTTATATTTAGATCCCTCATGGGGGGGACCACGCGACGCCATGGCCCGATATCGTCGTGCACCGACTTCGGAGAGAGGAGAAACAAACTACTCTGCCAAAAACGAGCAAGTTTCCAACCGGGGAATATATCCCCCTCGTGATCCCGGCGTCGACCTTGCGTCGATACTTAACCGCGCCACGTACGTGACAATGAAATATACTCACCCGGACAACACACCGAGAATCAGATTCATCACGAAGAAAGCCCCGAGTATCACCATAGAGATAAAATAAATCCATTGCCACGAGCTCCCCATCGCGTCTTCGATCTGGAGGGCAAACGGTTTGGAAAGAAAGTTGAAAAGAATATCGAATATACGTATATCCTCGTAAAAGTTTCGTAGAAGCATTAAAAGTTGAAGAGCTTCGCGGAAATAACGTCTAAGGGTCCGGAGACCCTTGTAAACCATTCGAGAATATGCACTTATTTACTCCGTCGTGCGTGGAAATTCTATCTCTTTTTTTTTTAACAAACACGGTCGTAACGATATCGAATAAGTATATGGCGCGTGGATATTGTTCGATGGGTGAGAACAGTGAATTAATTTGACCATTCGATCCATTAGTATGAAATGAAATTAATCCTACGCTGTAGAGGACGTCCGTCCAGCCCTCGAGCGTCACGCACTGAAACACCGTCAACATGGCCAGGCCAAAGTTGTCGAAGTTCGTGATGCCCCAATTCGGACCCTCCCAGAACTGTTTGCTGCAATAGTACTCGGGCCCCACGTTGATGCACGGGTAGCCTCCGGGCCCGCATGGGACTGGGTCGTCCATTACTGCGTCTGCGAATTCCAAGAAACATTCCTCGATCGTTTATAAGGAACGTTAAAGCAGTTAAAGAAGTTCGAGCTATATCTAACCATGTTGTATTAAATTCGTATCGTGGACGGATAAACAACTGAAGAAAAATGTCGCGAAGCTAGAAAGGCGTGCGTTTGGCAAGGAACGGAGGCGATCAGGTGGGTTTTCGCGCGTATCTGCCTCGCGTAGATAGGCGGATTTCGCGTCCTCTCGTGAATCAGCTGTTTACCGCGGGGACACGCGCTAACGGCAGGCCACGCAGCTCGCGTTCCGCGCGCTAAGAATAATTAGACGTTAGTTGTCGCCGCGGCTGAATCATATCTAAAATAGCGCCGGTGCAAAGTGTGTTTCGGGGTTAAGCCGGGAACTCCCTCGTCGTTCGTTGCCAACTTCTCCTCGATATTTCATTTCTCAAGGAACCGTTACCGCGAAGGACCGATCGATGGTCCGTCGCAGGACTCTTACGTAATTTCGATCCGTTTCCCCCGATCGAACCGCGATGAAAATTCTCGCGCCAGGAATCCGTTCCGGAGCGGCGGGCTCGCGTGATTAACCGTACGGTAACCAATTGTACTATTAGCACTCGAGCGTACAACTGATACGGTGAACCGATTAAACGCAGTTAACCGGGGATTATAGGGGATCCTCGAGTAGTAATCGATTGCACGCTTAATGCCCTCGACGCTCGGGCCATTTGATTTTCAAGATCCACGGACAACTCGGTTTTGCAGATATTCGTGGCGCCGTTCTTACCGGTGACATTGTGCCTGCACGTTTTATGCATTTTCCCGGAGAACAGCTCGAGGCCGATGATAGCGTAAATAATGATGACGAACAGAACCAACAGAGCGATATGTAGCAGGGGTATCATCGCTCTCAAAATAGAGTTTAGGACCACTTGTAGACCTGAAACACATCGAAGGGGGGTACGTTAATCGGGACTTTCCGTCTTGGACCGGTCTCCTGAAATGGGACAAAGGACCAGCCGTGTCTTTGCGCGGATCCGATGTCGGAGTTGTCGCTTTGATATGGAAATCCCCTTACTTGGTACTCCGGAGACCAGCCTGAGAGGTCGCAGCACTCGAAAAGCCCTTAACGCTTTCACATCGAAGCCTTCTTTCATGAGTATCGCCAACACTGTGCTCACCATGCTGGAAAGAGGAGATATGGAAATTAAACGATCCGTTCGACGATCGGGGACGCTCATTTCGCCGCAGAGAACGTTTCCGCGTCGCGAGATTCCGATTCGACGTGATCGAAAAAGCCGGACGATCGCGTGCGCGTTTATCGGGCGCGCGGGAAAAATCCGAGCGGAATAGAAAATTTCCAATGTCGGCGTTCGACGCCGGGAACGACACGGTCGAGAACTCGAAACGAAATTAAAAGCACTTCGCCCGACGGACCGAGGGGAAGACGTCGTGCACACGAAGGAAAACCCTCTTGTTTCGCGAGGTAAGCAGAACTTATCGAGTCGAAGTGGAGCACGGAAGGGTAACAAAGGGGGTCGCGTGCCGATTCAATGTCATCGCAGTGTCGCGCGACGATATTGGACGATCGGGTACGTTCTCGACCTATACAACGGCGATAAAATAGCGCGATGAAATTCGAGCGAAGGATCCCGTTGGCGAAATCCGCGCGCACTAAAGTTTCCATTATTGGTCCCGTCGATTCCCATAATCGTCGATTTACGACGGCCACGTGTTCTCCCCCAACGGACCGATAAACTTATACGAGAAGAAAAGCACACCAACGATTCTACACGTTGACGGCCACTGTCACGTGTACGTGATTTCAATATTTTTTGTTGGATCGAAATATTTTTGAAATATGGTTCTATCTTCCGGTACCCGTATTATTACGAGATGCATCAGGATACCGTAGACAGAGTGGAATGCAGATTTCTTCGGCTTGTTGCTGCCACGCTAATGCAGTTACGCCTGTATATTGCCATAATTATGATCCTATCGGTTGCAACTCGGCTTATTAGCTCTCGAACAACGCCGTAAGATGGCTGAACTGCACTTTGTGCATAAACTAATCAATCAACCGATTACTTGCTCCGATATTCCGTGGGAAACGAATTTCCGCGAAACCCGAAATTTATTCATAGACAGAATCGACATATTTTTTTGAATTGACGTTTTAATAATGAACGACTCCTACATGCGAGCAACACAAGGCACGCGTAGTGAACCATCGCTTAAATCACGGCGACTGTTTGTTTCCCTATCACACTTGCTCAAACAAACTATTCAGAGTGTGTATAATTTCGCGATAATATATCTAAGATTATCACTGAAATTCTCGAGGATATTATACAAATCAGTATATATTATACCTGAATCTCATTTATTTACAAACGATAACGAAGCATATTATTCCAATCTATAACAAACATCCACTGTATCTCAAAATCGTAAATAACGAATCAAAATTTCAGAATGATCTGACTTGAATTATTCGTCAGTCACGAATACAATTTCTCCGGCTCTAGTTACGGCGTTAACGCGTTGACCTACATGCGGGTCAAGCTGATTTTGATTTAGAACCAGGTATCCCAATTACACGTGTACACTGATACACGTATGCACCTGTAATTAAAGTTCGTTATGTATGTAAACGTAAATTTTAGATTCGAAGCATTTCGATGTCTACTATTGTTTTCGTAAGTCAATGATTTAGTTGCCTATGCCGTGTGTACAAGTTTGATCAATTTATAGAAAATTAGAATACTTGGATTGCAAAGACAAAGACCGTAAACTATTTATTCGTTCTGTATCACGCGTTAGGAAAGCACGCGGATAAAGTAGGATAAAGGCGCGGTCAGATACAATTGTACTCACCCTATAACTACTATCGTGAAATCTAGTATGTTCCATCCGTTCCGAAGATAAGCCCCGGGATGGGCCACGAAGCCGTAAGCGATGATCTTCATTACGCACTCGACCGTAAAAATCACAAGAAATATATACTCTATTTTTTCCTGAAACAGAACAACGAACAACACGACGTCAGATAACGCGTAGACGATATCTCCTTTGATCCAGCGGCAACAGTCGCACGTGGTAACGATCCTCCTGCTTAATCGACCACGCGTTAAATTCCCCGCACGCGCCTGACTGTTTACACGCCCGAAAGTAAACGTTTCCCTTTGATTAAGCGCGCAAAGTCTAAGTGCAAGGACAATGCTGTTAACCCTTTATAGACCTGTGTCAACTCTGACGCCACGTTCCGTTTTCAGCCAATCCCATGTTTTTGTAAGATTATTTCACGCATTATCGCGGTAAGTTCGCGACCAGCGATCGCGTTCTTTCTATCGCGAAAACTGCTTTTCCTCGATCTGCATTTCAAGTTAAATAGTTTTCGAGGGCGAAGAGATAGTTTGAGGAAAGCCAACATCGAAAGGGTGGACGCGAATGGTAGATCGCAATGGCGATGAGGAAGTTGGAAGGCGAGCGTAAAGCCGCAAGCAGGAAGAAGAGAGGAACGAGGATGCTCTCTGGACGTCCATTACGCTTAATATCCGAAATCGATCGATCACCGGTTCGTTGGAATAGCCGATTGGCTCGAGTTCGTATTATATTACCCCTGGCTTTGCTCCTGGCGATTTCTGTCACGCGACGCTCCCACGAATCACGCCGAGTATCGGCTCGAAAATATTCCAGTATCTTTGTTTTCCCTACCAAAGTTATCGTGGAAAGCTCCGGTGTGTCAGATATCCGTGCTTTCAATATTTTTCATTCCCCGGATACGAGATACGCGCGCTTAAAAAATTTCCAATCAGAGCAGATGGTTGGGGATCTTATTTAACGTTTGCTTTCTGAAAATGTAGAAAATGTATTTTTTAATAGAATATAAATTGTCGAGTATTATGTTTTTGCGACAGAAATCGAGGGCTGCTCTCGACGCTCATGCTACTTACGCTCCGTACGGTTTATCAATGACTGATCAAGACCGTCCACGACCACTTAACGTATTCACGGTCTTCTTGACACACATCGGTAAACGAACGGAGAGTTTGCGAGGTAAACGAACCGACGGGAAACCGACCAAGACGACCAACGTCGCGTTCGACGACCGCACAGTGTTTCGATCAATGGGCAAACATCGAAGGATCCTCAATCTTTTGAAATTCAACTGAAATATAAATCCTATTAAGTAAATACAATTAATTTGGTGTCTGGAAAAGAATATAGAAATTCATCATCGTAAATGAAATCTTAAAACCGTCGCCCATTTTGTGGAGCAGCGTAGTATTATTCTTGAGTAAATGTTGCTGTTCGCTGTATTTACTAATGGAATTAACGGAACGTGGAAGTGGCTGGAATCGGAAAACAAGGCTAAAGAGAAGACGCGTTTGTAAGAACCTCTTGCGGCCTTTGTGGCTTAAATCCATCCTTGAAGCGATGACCACGCGTTACGATACACCGTGTATGTACAGAACGGCTTTTGCAGAAGTTTCCGGTCTGACGCGACATAGACGAGTGTGCTCTATCGGCCGCGATAAGCCTTGGAAAAAGCCCACCCTCTAATAAAAGGTTTTATGCTTCGCCTCGAAGGCCAGATCTTGCCGTATCATCTCGGAAAAGCTTTTACCCATTTTCCGGGACACGGCCTCGCTACTTTCAATTCTATCCAAGCTCGAATTTACCAAGACCTTCGTTCGGCGCTAGTTTCAACGATCCTCAAACGCTTTCTTTATCGTCGAAACCCGGGCTTCGAAAAAGTTCCGCAACTTCTAAACTGATCCTATTTAAAACATAAGCCGCCGGGAACTTTTCGTACAATATTTTACAGAATCGTGGGTACAAATATTCTCTCAAATGAAATACGTTGTTCGCGTGGATGTCGTGGCAGAGAGATGAATATTTGAAGAACTGTAACGGGGAATGCTTTAATAAAAACTTATCGTAACGTTCATCCACAGCCCCGAAGAGGAAATTGTACGAGCATTTCGCTGGTTTGGAATGGAAAGGTGTCGTACAAACGCGACAATGGAAAACGCAATTTCCATGGAAATGCTCCGCGTCTAAGATGGTCCAACGACGTCGCATAAAAGCGACCAGTTTTCCGAGCGACCGGTCCACACTGGCCCATATATGAATCATGTTTTCCAATAATAGTGGGCTACGGTGCAAAACCATGTCAGCAAGATTGAACAATTATTGAAGTTTCAGCTCGAATAAATTTCATGCCATCAACCCTGTCTCTTGGACAGTGTGTTTATTTATCGATAACTTGGCCGGTACACGGTGGTTCGATGAACGGGAACTGTTATTCCTATTATATTCGCTATTATTAGCCGCGATCGAAATTTGTTTACCGCGGAGTTCGTTGTTCGAACCGTGTGTGTCGATCAACGAAAAGTAAAACGAACCTGTTGGTCGAAGACTCGCGACTGTTGCCGTCGAATCGCGGTCGAGGAGGTCCCGAACGCGGTAATTTTGGCGACAATTAAGCAGCTTCTATACGCGACCGTTTCTGCTTAAAATGGCGATTCGATAAATCGATACTCACCAAATACTGGTTGGTCAGATTAGAATCGCCGTACGGGTACGGTGTGTAGACTGCCAGGGCGACGCAGTTCGCGAATATCGTCATGAGAATAAGCCACTCAAAAGGTCTGGAAAGTTGTGTCGATGAAAGGTCTGGCTAAGGAAAATGAAAATATACTCGGGGTAATACGCTCTCGAGGATTCATCGAACCGCGAGCCGGGGAAACTTTTGTTCGACTTTCTCCGATTTTCGCCACCGCGCGTTTCCCAGGGCTCTGAAAGCTCTTAAATATAAACAGAGACTGAAAAGCGGAAAAAGCTTCCGCTACGACGGACAATAATTCTCCATTTTCAACGTAGCGGAAAACTCTTCCTCTCTTTTTCCCCTCCTCGCCGTTCGATTCTACGTGGGCGATGAAAACATCGTACGTTACTTTCGGTTAATAAGAACGATCTTCGTTAGGATCCGTATCGAGTCGACTTTGTACGCGTCGTAAATGTTTTACCGAACATGCTTGGTAGGAGGGGTGAAACCGGGGCCGGTATACGCTGGAACGACTTTGTCAACAGGGGGCGACGGTGTTCACCCTCCTTCCATCGGTTTGTTTCGCTTTCAAACGGACGCGGAAAGTTTCGAACTTTCGAAATGATAAAAAAAGAACGAATTTACGCTCCGAGTGGTTACAAAAACGTTTCGTCGGTATGTGGCTTCTTCGATGACCAGAAACGGGGTTACCTTTGCATTCGCGGTAAACAATACAAGTGCTAAAGTTGAACAATTTCGTTTCGTCTTCGTAAAATATTCTATGCGCTCGCGGGAGATACGAGAGTACGCTATTTAAGTACCACGCCTCTTTGCAAATAGGTATTTGGTTTTTGCTACACCTAACATTTGGCGCACTCGAATGAAAAGTAAATAGGGTAGTTGCAGTTCCTACTTAAAACTAAAAGAGCTCTGTGTCTAACGCTTTCCTCCTTCTAACCGGGGAGAATTGGACGAGTTCTGAAAAGGATACTTCCATTCAACGACATCGATGCACATCTTACGCACGGGATTTTTGAGGGGTAGACAAAAGAGGGCCCTAACGGGCCTGTCGGGCGGGGGTTTGCCACCCCTGCGAGCCGGCCGCTTGGTGGCGGACTTGGCTGCGCCAGTGCTGGTCCCGAGAGTTTGGCCCGTCTGCGACTGCGCGGTTGCTGGCTGTCCGTCCTGGGCAGATTGGGGGTTCCGGTGCTGCCCGAGGATGGGGGGGGTCGCGGCAGTCGGCTGGGCCCCCAGCAGCTCAGGGGGGCCCAACCCCGAGCCCCCATCCCCCCCCGCGCTCATCGGACGCTCCTCCGCGCCTCGATCAGCTCCGTGCTTCCGCCTCGATGCTCTCTTCTTCTTCTCCTCCCCCTTCTTCTACGCTTTCGGTTACCTCCTCCTCTGCCGCCGCCTCCGCCTCCTCCTCTTCCTGTTATACACGCGCAGGCACGCTCCTCCGGACCCTGCTCGGCTTCCAACCAGACGCCTGTGCAGACGCCCGTACAGACGTCCGACGACGCCGATCGACGCGCTCTCTCAGAGACGCCCCACCACCCGCTGCAGCTCGCCGGCATGCTACGGCACTGGGCTCTTTCGAACCTCCCTCCGTGACCTAAACAGAGCACAAAACTTTGTTACTTTTATTCTGGATCTTAAATTTCAAAATTCTTCTTCTTTTGATTCTTTTAGAAGAGACTAATGGCTAATGGGTCACAGAATAGCCACCGGATATCGTAGTATACTGTTTCAAAGAAGTAGAGTATGAAAAGATAACAAGATCCCCACGTCGTACGACCAAGGAACGAGAACCTTAACATTTAATGACTAGGAAATTGCTCGAGCCTGGAGGTTGACATTTCGCAGCGGTTGGTCATTCGACGTCGTCGATAGATTCCACAAATTTAATGAAAAACTAAATGAAATTAGGATTTAAATCAGTATCTGCTCGTGTATCTGACCTTTACGATGCCAAATGTGAAAGTTAACGGACCGATCTTTTTCTGTCGCGGCTCAATTAGGGGGCCGAGGATGTAACGGAACTACCGTTGTACGCTAAATGTTTAATGCTCGAGAGCGTGAGCGGAAACGGTGAAAACCTTGATCGCCTCCGGTGCCCTTTAGCCGCCACACGGCCGAAAAGAGGGGCTCGGAGAAATGCCGGTCAACTTCGGCCGTAAATATTCCAAGCGCTCGCTAGACCAGCAATCTGGCGCCGCGACGCCTTAGACGATTCGAGAGTTCGCGCTGGGTAACGATAAATATTTATGGCCGCGGGACGAAGCAGTTCCGCTCCCTGTTTCCGTGCCTCGTTAACATTTAAGGCTGTACTCGTGCCGCGAATCGACGTCACCACGGTCGCGGGAACGGATCGAAAGTTCGGAAAGCCGGTCGAACTTAAAAGCCATTCGTTGTTTTCTCTCGCGCGAACGTCAAAAGCACTTCCTGAGAACTCTGCCCCCACCCCCCTGCCACGTCAACAAAACCACCACTCGTTCGTGGAAACTCGATACCAGAATCAATAACGTTACAAGATTCGAAATATAACGAATATCGAGAAAACCAGGTTGGTATTTAAGAAAAGCTCTCGAAGATCTTCCCCCTCGAAGGACCAATCGAGCATCCTGAAACGAGAACTTCCGTTTGTGTTTGACTCTCCCTAGGAATCGATTCCTAGGTCAAAGGGCGTTATTAGTTCTGACAAATCGAAATCATCGGTAGACAGTTCGTATGGGAATCGGTACGATGGAATCTTCGTTTCCATTTACCAACATAATAGATTCCTCGGTCTATTCTCTTAGATTGATCGAAACAAACCTTACAAATACCAGGGACTCGTGCTCCTACGTTTCGCGACAAGATCGTCGCTTCGTAAATAACTTCTCCCATTTTGTACTCCGCTTTTACTTCCCTTCGCGAGTTTGTCTCTTATCAAAAGTCTGACGCTTGTCTCTCCGTTTCGAACTTTGCGACTGCTGGATCTGACAATTCCATAGACAATGCCCTAACCGTTCCTACGAGACTATTCAATTCGATTTGATATTAGATACAACTGTTGCCTATCGTCCCTAATAAAGTTTCGCAAAGCACTGAAACGCTTTGCATCCTGTTTGCTAAATTTCGTGGGTGCATCAGTGACGGGAGTTGATGCAAGGCAGACAACTGTTAACAGTTAGCCGTCTGTTGAGCCAGAATCGAGCCGGTGTTCGACGAAAGAAGGTTAAGAGTCATCCTCTCGACGCGAGAGATCGTTTCTGCGCTCGAATCGATCGGAGAAAAATCGGCGTGCTTGGCGGAACGCGCCGCGAGAGAAGCCTCACGCTTGTGTTTCGGCAAGTCCGGGAGCCTGGGATTTATAGCAGACTCATGCTATATTTAGTGAGCCTAAATACTAGAAAGTTCTACCTGCGGTCGAGTTTCTCGAGCTCGTGCACGCTCCCGTCGCATGAACTTGTCTGGAATCGGTGGTCAGTGCCTATCCGCTACTGTTTTCGAACGCACAAATAACCGAGCTCTGTTTAAACAACATCACACGAGACGTCACAATGAATCAAACGAACGTTTTTCTTTTACGATCGTTTCGCCTTGTTTTCAGACCGCGCGGAAAACACCGGGTCACATTATCAGTAACTATCGATTCAAGGAAAGTTGATTCTTTCCGAATGGTTTTAACGAGGTCCTCGCAATGGTCTACTCGACCCCATTTTCGATCATCCGTTAATACAATGAAGAAGAAATCGGTTAAAGTACTATAAATTGAACGTTTCGATAACCACCGCTCATTTTCCAATAATTGTACCGGATACTTTGATACTATTTTCATTACTTTGCTCGTTCTCCTGGGTGAATTATATCGGTACGAGATAAACAACGATCACCGTACGGTTTCTGCATCGTTCGATGCTCGCCGCCATTAACTTTCTAACGATTCGTACGTCACGCGAGGTATTCCTCTAATTTTCAACTACGATCAAAGACGCTTGTGACGCACGTAAGGCGAATATTCTTGCGATTCCGGGGACTCGAATAAAAGCGTCGTCGTAGAAGATACGCGTTCGAATAGATTTCGAGATAGAGACGAGTCCCATTTTACGGGTGAGTCAGACGATCGCCGGAATTTGTGAACGTAATTCGTCGGTTCCACGGAAAAGTGGAAATCGTCGCATTTCCATTCGAGGCGAGACCGGTCGAACCTTCGAATCCCGTTCCCTTCCGTTTATCTCGACTAATCCGTGGGACGTACAGTTCCATCGGCGAGAAAAATCGTTCCCGACTGTCTTTCGTGGCGCGGCAAAATGGACTGCGAAAATAAGACTTTTCTGGTCCCGCGGAAAACGGAGTGTATTTCGAACGTCTGAGGAGCACGGCGAAAATAGATTCGCAGGATTTTGATAATCCGGCTGGTCCCTGCGACTGACAGTGTATGACGTGAAATTCGCGAACCTTTCGCGGATCGATCGTACGCGCCGCGGAAGTATAAAGTATCGCTTCCGCGAACGATCGATTCGATGGCTATCGGAGGTGAGTTATTCGTTGCAGTTGCGCCCCAAACGGGATTATTCGACTTCCCTCGGCAGTTTTCCCGGCGTATCGTCTTCGATAATCAACCGTCGACTGAATTATGCGGTGGCGCCGTACGGTTTCGAAATTGGCGATGGTAATTCGACCACCAAACGATTACTCCATTTTGTTCGAACGCTCGGAAAAATTACTGACAAGGACGAACAATGGATGTTCAAACTCTGTTATTTGTCCTTAGAGTGTGCAGGTTCGATAATTTAAACAAATACTGGACTCGAGTCGGAACTTTGCGGTGACCGTTCGAGAAATTTAATAGTTGGATCGTTGAATTTCATGCTTTTTTTGGCAACGTGCTCTGGATCGTTGTCCTATTGAAAAACGAGTTCATTTTTACGACGAAGGGGCCCTGATAAATCTAGATGTGCCACTGTGCCCGCGTTTAACTCGGTTTGCGTATACGAGCCCCTCGATCGACATCTGGCTCAGATCCAATATTATGAAAAATGAGTATATTATAAAAATAGTAAATACCAGGATTGTTCCTACCATTTAACAGAGTAATTCGCGCCTATTTCCTTTTACGTTGGCAAAAAATGCGAGCGAATTTTACATTTTGCATAAAGTGATTTTAAGAGAATCTGGATTACTGGCTTAAATCCAGCTTTTGGACTTACGCCCGTAGCTCCCATGCAACAAATGGACTTACACCTCTGTTAAACTCGACTAAAGGGAAATCCATGTATATATTAACCGTCGCTCTCCGAAACTGTTCAGTGTTTTGTCAACTTTTATATTTGCTGACAACGAGTGACGCAAATTTTAAATCACCGAAAAAATCGAAGACCAGGAAAATCGCGAAAAAATCTCGTAATTCGGGAACAGTGTGCGTAAACCGGAATAATAATGTAGTTTCTGAGAAAAAAACTTGCAAAAACACGATGGACGAAAAACTAAGAAAAGGACCGCTTCCATAGTTTCTGGGGGGGAAAAAAAGTTGTGCAAACGTGACGGATAAAGAAACGCTGAAAAACCTACTCCGTTGTTTCTGCAAAATGGGATCCTTTGTTAGCGAAAAATGCATGCAGAATGTACCCGTAAAAAGATAATGGCCGCGAGATGAAAGCAGATGCATATAAAGTACCAATAACGTGTATTTTATTAATCTTGACTTTGAAAAAGTAGAAGGAAACAGATTCGATATCGTATAAAAATCTTAACAAAAATTGATCAGGGTGGGTGACAACTTGCTCTAAAAAAATTTATGGTACGATTCAAGAGTGTGTTTTAATTTCCTGTTGAAGGTTGAAGGTTCAGCGACGACCACGCGTCGGAACCGCGAACGTTGCGGTTCTATTTTGTTTTCCAGGCTTTCGATGAAAGAGAGTTCGCCGCTAATAAAGTTTCTCGGTGTTAAATGGATAGAAAGAGTCACGCTCGCTCGTAAGATAGACATCGACCGGTGCTAACGAGTTAAATTTAGTTCACCACTTCGCTCCCACGGAAGCATCGGGCGAGCTGGGCCGCTTACCCGCTTAACCGTTCGCCTACTGGCACGTGCTGTACGCCGATCCTCGCGATCCCTTGCTCGATCGAGCCCTATCCCTACGAGCCGATATCAGCACACTTGGAGAACAAAGCGCCGTCCTCGTCTGATTTTGTATGCGCGAACGACGCAAATAAATACGATAGAAGAGGCTCGTAATCGTGACAGAAAATAGTTGTTGCGAAAGACAGCCTCGCGCGAACGTGGCTGCCATAACAAACACGCCGCGGACTTCGATCGACGCTTCGACAATCGCGTATTTTTACGTTCACGGATTTTAATACAAATGACGGGGACTCGACTCGAGGGCGGAGCAGTGCACCTTCCGGCGATCGGCACCGCTTTCAGCAATAATCAGTTCCGTAACAAATAATTTAGTAACCGGGGATCGAGCATCTCGACTACGTTGCTTAATTGGTACCGAGATTGCCCGAGTAGCTGATAGCCAACTGATTCTGACAAGGATTCGCGCGACTGAGGTTATTTGGCTTCCATTAATTACAACTTTACGGGTTAACAATCTAGAGATTGATGCCCGGGAGCAGCCGAGA